TGTGAACAAAGACACAATGGAAGATACATAACAACGGAAGTATAATCAAAGTTTTGACCATAACATCTACAGTCTTATGAACAAGCTCTCACAAGTGAAATACATATAAATGAAAGATTCTTTAGTCTAAAACAGAAATTGTACCCATACCTTACAGTTGGACCCCTGTTTTCCTAACTGCTGACTCCTCTGTAGAATTCATAGGAATCAGGAGAACATTCCATGAGACTTTTACAGTACTGAAGATAAAAATATCTAAATTATCCACTAGGATTATTGTATGTACAAAGATATCCCTTAGTAATGTAAAAGGTATAAATACGTTCCCAGACAAGCTCAATGAAGAGAATGTATCTCCACCATGCCTTTCCTACAAGAAATATCAAAGTAAATTTTGAGTCTATGTACTACATGATTTCCATTTTTCTTTTGTTTATTCCTCCTTTGGTTTATTTCCTGTTGTCACTGAATTCAATTATGGTAGCCTGAGTATTGTATATACATTTATCTAAACTAGAGAAGGGAAGGCGAACAACAAAATAATGAGACAAAGGACAAAGGGGAAACCAATGCAACAGCAATACTCACAAGACAATATGTAGGATAGGATCTGTACAAATGGTAGGGAGCTTGGAGGCATCAAGGAGGGAGGAAGATAAATGAGAGAGGGGTTACAAGTTAAACAAGAAATGTGATCACTATCTTTTTTTATATAACTGTAACCCCTCTGTACAGCATCTTGACAATAAAGTGTAAAAAATAGACAAAACCATTAATAATCAAGAAAAAGATACAAGGAAGGATACTCAACAAGTATAAAAACATCAAAACCCATCATAGAAAATGCTAAAAATCATGGAAAGTGAACAATTCAAACTGAGTAATCAGGAGGTCTTCAAAGAAATAAGAATGGAAATTTCTTAAGTTCTAGGATTCAATGCAAATGAAGACATGAAATAACAACTCAATGGGGATTCAACAAAAAGAGTGCTCAGAGAACAGTCCATATCCATGATTATTTGCATCAACAAATTAGAAAAATATTAGGTCAACACTTTACTGATGCATGTCAAAATTGGGCCTGATACTTCTAGGAAGGTGGTATGGTCACAGGTAAATTACCAAGCTATCTGTGACCAAATAGAGATTTAGGATTTCAGCACACACTCCACCTTATGAGATCCATACCAAACAAAGTTTAAATGGACAGTCATTTTAAGATAGAAGATATCCCACCACAATAATGCCAAAGCAGAAAACAGCAAGGCAGCATGCACACCCCCGCTGAACTACTGGATTCTAGGTCCGGTTATACCCCAAGACTATTCAGAGAGACTAAAAGGAGGAGAGAGACACCACACAGTGGGGGCAGGGTGGAGAGGATGGAGGAGAGTAGGGAGTAAATCAAGAAAAGGTGTTAGACACTACCACATGAAAACACAGAAGTCCCTCACCAAGACTTCCCTGTCCCATACTGGCCACATTGAGGGACCCCGGTCTTAGAAAACCAGCTTCCTTTGGTGACCCAAAGTGTCCTGACAGAATCCCTCTGCTAGCTGAAGAGGAGGGGAACATATTTGAAGAAAAAAAACATACAAATTCTTTTCCCACCCCTTCTGCAGCTATAGAGGAAAGTCCCCTGGAATACATCTCTGCCCCTCTGTTAGCAAACTACAGCTCCCAACTCAAAACTCCTGCTGGCTGACAGCAACAGGGCACAGAGCCAGGGAAGCATCTGGGGAAAGAACACCAGGACTGTCCTTGAGCCAGCAAAGAACCCAATTCGCCCTAAATCTCCCATGTGTGGTCAGCAACACCCCTGGGAACAAATGCAGCCAGGGAGGTGCCTGGGAAAATAACACCAGGACCTGCTCTACACAGGAAATTTCTAAAAATTATTACATCCCCCATTATGTTCTCCATCCCAGCATCTCTGATGGGAACAGCTGCATTTAACTCCAGTAACAACTAAAATCAAGTTATATCTGGCAACTGAGGATCTTCCTCTAAAGGATCCTAAGTCAGGCCATTCCTATGGAAATTGCAGTGCCGAACAGCCCTGATTTCTGACACAATGAGGTGAGAATCTGCTCTTATCATCTTTCTCTTCCTCAGTCTTCTGAGAATGAAAATCTCCAAGGTAAATATTCTGGGTCTACATATATGATGATTTGATATAGGTGTTTATAAAGGATGATTTGTTGTTTGTAAAACAAACAC